GACGGTCGGCTGATCAGTTTTGTGTTGGACAACGTGCGACAATAGGACAGCACTTTCCAAATACTAGGACTGTATCAAGTGGAAGAAACGTCCGTTTTATAATCAATTGATTTCATGTGGTGAGTTATGAGAAAAAAAATTAGCCTTTTCGGTATCTAGCTAAGGCCCCATCGACTACTAAGGGCAACGCGCCAGGAGATGATATTGCTGCGTAAATGCCTGCAACGAAGTTCAGCCGATGTAAAGCATAGATTCGTTACAAAACTAGACTTTTCGAAAATCAGTCTCTTAACCCTTTTTTTAGGTTAGCGTCGACGGAGCCAACGTCGTCTGCATACATCGGTATCAATTTAATTCTATACTCTTATCTTAAGAAAAGATTAATCAATGTAATTAAAAAATAAACTTTATTAATAGAGCTTACTACAAAATTATATTATGCCACTAAGTTAACTAAAATGTAAAGAAAATTTTAAGAAAATTTATATCAGATAGCACTACTGCCTACCATGGCAAAATAGCGAGGGAAAAATATCATACGCGATAAAAACTTATAAATCATATTTAACTTTTAAATTTTTTTAAATGTGTTTTTATATGATTTTTATTAAAATGTATGTCGTATAGTTTTTCATACTTCAATTACTTTTGTTTAAAATACCTGTGTTTATTTCTTCTATGCAAATGTTAAAATAAAGATAGCTCTTTTTTTAAACTGCGATTTCTAAAATGATCGAAAAACCAGTCAAAATTTATTTTGAATATCTATGTATAGTTTGTATAAAAAAAAATGTTTTAAATTTGTAAAACCCAATGTAATTAGAAATGCCAATCAAAATCCTGTTCAAAGTTTATATGAATGTGATGAGATTAGATTCTTGTATAATATTTAAATTTTCCTCGGTTTTCCTGGAAAAAAAATCATTGTCAGTCATTTAAAACGAATATATAGAGGTTGGATTCCTTATTTTAAGGGTAAGTACACGTCCTACAAATATGAACTTAATAAAATATTGTATTCCGGCTGTAAAGTTTATTTATATTCGACGAAATCCAGGTTCCTAATATTCTTTAACCAACTACTATATACAAATATTCTTTGTTTATAATTCAAACTTATCAAAATCATTTTAATGTTAGAAATCAGATTGGGTATGCTATATCAATGTTTTTTTGTAGCCTTCATTCTTTATGTACTGTTAAAGGAAGCTCGTATGATGCTCTAAAGAAATTGTCGACCACGTAAGTACATAAAATTGAATTATATATTTTTAAAGGATTTTCACTTATAAATTTGTCAAAGGGCAATCTTTTGAAATTATCTGTAAAACTATTTAACCACTTTTTTATTTCTGTACAAATGACATTTATGAGTAAAGGTTTTATGGAACGTAACGGGAGCACCACTATTTTTTTGCCACAAGGGTTGCGCCACGTTGGCTCCATTTGGCGTTGGACATTGACAAAGAGGCGCGAATGTGGCTGGCATTAAATTGGTAAATTTTGATAAATAAATGCATTCATTCCGATTTCACAATGATTTGTATTTGCTGTTACGCTGACAGCAGTGAAGTGGCAGGTAACGTCAGCTCGGTCCAATTGAGCGACATCTGTTGAGCTAGTATAAAATATTTTAATGAAATGTTTTTGTACCAACAGCTTTATTTCTAACCATTTCCTTACAAAGAATATTTAAAATACAGGCTACTCAGCGATATGATATTGCTGATAGCAGATTGGAAATATGAACTTGGTTAACTTTAAACTATTAAAACAATTCTAATAGCAATTTAACACTCGTTCTTGTTGTAGGATTTGGTAGCAGCAATAATAATTATCTGTTTAATTATTCGTTTAGCCGATTCTTCATTTTTCGTTAGCATCACTGTATCACTGTTCTTTATCTTCTTTTGACGTTGACCCAAATCCCATCCTTGGACGTAAGAGTCCCGGACTTCGGCTCGATCTCCAGATGTCTCTTTGTTTGTCCCGTCGGTTCCACCCTGTACTTGTGCAAAAACCCGGCCAGGCCAATCATAGACTGCACCTTTGCGAATCGCATTCCTAAAAAATAAGGGATGCATTTATTTAATATACAAAAGTTAATATTTTGCTGTAGGGTCTTTCGGGACAGCTCGCTAGGTACTTATTTCGAATGATGTCGAAATAAGTACGAAATAAAGTACAATTTTAATTTTAAAGTTTGCAATTTCGTAAAAGTCTAAATAAGATTTGGTTTGGCAGCTTATTTCATAGACCAAAGGGCCGCAGTCTACATTGTTAGATCTAGTCTATTTAATCAGTATTTACTGCATTTATGCAAAGTCCAATTAATATGTTTGAGTACTCAAAATCGTTTTTTTAAATCTAATTATGATAAATTTTCACCGTAAATATGAAATTTTTTCGAAGAATTGCTAAGTTGTACCATGAAATAAAACGAATAAATTGATAATTTAATTCGTTTCAATATTATACTTACGTTTCTTTGCGTTATTTTTATAATCGTATATCGGTTTAAGTGTATAAAAGATTACAATGTGCAAATAAATCTTATATACCAACATGAACTACTCAAAATTTGAGTATTTAATCCTATATCATATACGAAATGAAAAACTAAGCTAATGAAAGTCTATGAAGAACTTCGTTTACTTCGTTACATAGAATTACTAGTAGATTGGTGGCATATTTATTAGAAAAAAAGAATTTGGTTAAGGAAAAGATCTTTTTTAGCTTTAATTCTTTGACAGCAATATGTTTACTTTTTCCCAGTGTTTATGTTTCTCTATTACATAGTATTCCTGTAATGTTCCTAATTCACATCTTTCAAGAATTTATGGCTGATCGTTCATGAATTTTTAAATGTGTTTATCCAATGTACAAAAGGGGAATTCTGTCGCTTGTGGAATTATATCAAAATGTAGAATACTATTATTGTTGCTATGTGACTTACCGATGCAATTGCGAGGTCCGTCCCCAAACGGTAAATAAACACACGACGGTAATTTGGCTTTATTTTCAGGAGAAAACCTTTCCGGATCAAATTCCAACGGATTGGGAAAATATTGCGGATCGTAATGAAGAGCGTATACAGGTATAATGATACTAGTACCCTTTTCTAACGATATTTTTGAGTTTGGAAATGTGTAAGGGCTTATAGATTGTCTAACCAATACGCCTAGTATCGGATACTTCCTCAAGGTTTCGTCTAACACCATTTCTAAATAGCGCATCTCATTTATCGCTTCATAGGTCACGCCTCCATGTCTCTCTATGACTTCGCTTATCTCTTTGTGCAAGCGTTCCTGAATATCTAGATTTTGAGAAATCTCGTGCATTAAGAACGACATCGTCCCAGATGACGTTTCGAAACCTCCGAGGTAGAATATGAACGCTTGGGCGGCCATTAATTCATTCGTTATTTCTAGTTCCTTTTCATGGTCGTCACCTCTTCTGACCACTCGACCTTGTTCTTTCAGTTCGATCATGAAGTCCATAAAATCTTTACGAACCTTTGGCTTCCCAAACCGTTCTTTCACTATTTCGTTGACCATATTAACAAAGAAATCGAATATATCCTTTTGAGCACTTTTTACTCCTAACGTTTTTAGGAGGCCAGGAAACAGTGAATTGATGAATCTAAAAATGGCAACTTTGCTGTCGAATAATAACATCCTATTAGCGATTTCTCTGTATACATTTTCCTTTTCACTGAACGCGTCGACTTCGACACCAAAAGCGCAGGAGCCTATGACGTCCAGAGTGTATTTCGATGCCAAAGAACGCATCTCCATGACACCGTTTTCTCCGATCGTTCTATCAGCGTAGTCTAATAATCCATTCATACTCTTCAGTACTAGTGGTATCATGGTTTTCAGCTTTCCAGTGGTAAAAATCGGTGTCAGTCTGTGCCTGAGGACTCTCCAAACGTCGGCTTCCGCAAAGAAGAGGTTCTGCTCTATATCGCTATCAGTAAAAGATACACCTCTATCTTGGAATTGGCTGAAGTCCTTGATCAATATCTGCTTTATCACTTCTGGATCTCTCACTATCAGTGTCGGTCTAAGTCCGATGTAGACACCGATGTATTTCTGATCGGCATAGTTGTTATAAAATTCGGTGAATAAGTCGAAATAGCTCTGTTTCTGAAGCGTAACTGAACTGAAGTTCCCTAAAACCGGCACAATCGGCGGTGAAACGATACCCCTTTTGGACCAATAGCTGTATTTAGTTTTTAGCCAATAATAGATCGTACACGCAAATATCAACAGACCGCTCACTATGTAGTAAATCATGGTGAATAACTTCCGAAGGGCCGAGTGCAACTGGTTATTTTAATCTTGACCGTTTTATATAATGTCGATAACTAATGCTGTCATGATTATAACACGATAAGGTAATGAGTCATTCGTCGTTACTGATAATTGTTATTGCCTACATGAATACATTTTTTTAAAATGTAGTGCCAAGAAAGCGATTGTAAAGGCGTATGGCCATTTCTTTCAGTTTCAGTTATCGTCATTAAGGGGCATAATTAAAAATGTATTGCCGTTAATTAGCATTTTTAATTATTCTGCGCTTGTTCAACGTAGTGGCTTCAAGGTCCAAGATTTTGATTCTAAAATAAATGGTTGTGGGAGAATAGCGATTTTCCTGGTGTTGTGAATGTCCATGGACGTAGATGATCATCTACTTTTTGGTGACTATCACGCTCGTTTGCACCTTCAGAAAGGTAAAAGAAACGATAGGTGTTGCGAGGAAAACAAAAAAATGTGGGACATTAGAGTGGAACAAAGTACTTTTTACTATAAATTATATATATTAAGTAACAGACACAATCAAATAAATTAACAAGGTTTGAGTGTAATTATATGTAAAGTAAAAAAAAAATGAAGAAATAGTGGTCAATCTGTAAATTGCATTTTTTTTTCATTATGAAAATAAACACATTATTATTAAATTACACACAAAAAAGTGCAGTAGTAAAAAGCCAATTTCACGTAATGTTCCCAGGCGGTCACGAATTTTACGTACTGACCGCGCTCGTCGCTGCTTAACTTCGGTGATCGGACGAGAACCGGCGTATTCAACATGATATGAGCGTTGAATACGCACAAGACACGCTTGCGAGGAGCTTTTGAAATGCCAATTATACCAAAATTGTTGCGTCTGATACTTTCATCGGCTTAGCTCTCATTTGCCAAGCGTCTGGAGGTTAATGTGCGATAAGGAATTTCCTATAAAAAAATATTTTAGCAGTGGGGTAATAAAAATCTGTCGCGGTGTTGAATACTCCAACCAAGACTGCCGACTTCGCGTTGAAAATGAATAAACACACTCTGTCGATTGGTAGTTGATAAATTCATACTCTAATGATTATATTTCAAGAATTATATATACATGTAACCTACGAAATAGAGACATCTTTGAATTTGAATTTCTTCAAATACTATGAAGGTTGCATGATAATAGATAGACAAAGTATTTGTTTGTCATGCACGCCACACGCTCCGCCCCATTGCACGCTCAGGTAAACCGAGTAGTTAGGCCATACCTTAGGCAGATAAGAGCAAAATAATTAATACACTGTTCGAAAAAAATCAAGTCGGCCACAATTTTGATAAGAAATATTTTAACCGATACGCTTTATGTAGAAAGCTGAAATGAGTCATTGAATTAGTCACAACAATGTAAATAATTTTAATCTTCTCCTATATAATTAACCAGCGAGATCTTTGTCTTAGAACGTCTGCGATTTAAAAGGCATCATAGTGTGATTAGTAACATATGTTTGTTCATTTGTTTAGGTCAAAACCGGACGACTTCTCTGTTCCCTATCAACATGATATAAACATACTTTCTTTTTTCAATTTTAAGGCAATTGAAAATTAAAGTTCTGGTGGCCCACTCCACCCTCTTCCCTTCCATCAGTCCGATTCCCTCTCTATTGGATATCCTATTCCCTCCTAAAACGCCGGCACCCAGTTGATGACTCCTCTGGCGTTGCTAGTGTTCATGGGTGGCGGTGACCATCTACTTCTGATGGCTGGCCTGCTCGTATACTCCTTGAAATTACTATAAGAATATAGAGCAAGAAAGGTCATTTATAGATGATTGCGTGCGACATGCAGCATACTACTCACCGCTGACCCTCGAATCTGTTTTAAATCATTTTCGGCATTCTTCATTGCGTCCGATTTTTTAAGATTTTGTTAATGCTATCTTACCGCTTTACTTTTATTGTTAACGTGATATAATGTTTTGGTATGAGATCAACACGCTCGCATTCTTGGTTAAAACAAACATTTTGAGCTGCTACACGATAAGTCTAATATGTGTAATTTCATTTGTATTTAAATGGCTTGAAGAAGATCAACTTGTATGTTTGGCAAGCGATTTCTTCGAAGATTTCCCAGGTAAATTTATTATGATGAATTATGTTTTAAATATATGTGGTTTAATTTACAAATATGAATTTCATTTTCACAGAAACCAATCGATGGTAATCAATCACATAAAAATGATATTGAAAAAAAGAAAATATAACCGATATCATTATCTTTAAGGTTTTTTTGAATGACATAAATAATTATTTTTATGTAACAAATTAGTATTTTTCCCTGAGATAATGTAAAGTATAAACAATGTAAATTATTTTTTTTGTATTATCATTGTCTTCTGATAATTATTATTCTCCAGTAGTGGGCCTATTTTCCTTGTCATACAAGATCTATCTAACGGCAGTAAATACGTATATTTCTATAATTAACTCTATTAGTTTTCATATGCATATAATGTATTCAATTATATGCAGATTAAATGGGTGTAAGAGTGAGTACCTACTGTATTATGGTCAACGGGTTAATTAAAACTCTAACATTTTTTTATGTCACAGTGTTCCCGTTTTGTGAAATATTGTTTTAACAAGTAAATAATCTAAATTGAAGTACGCTAAAATTGTTTGCCAAACTCGCCTTATCAACTCACGTTTTAATAATATTTTAAGAATTGAATGTACTCAACCCATACTCAATTTTTCTGAAATTGTTATTTTAAATTACATTTTTAAAAATCACATTAGATAATCATTGCTTTTTCAGTATATAATAGAAACTCATTAAACAAATGATTATTAAATATAAAAATGAACAAGAGTTAATTTATTAATTTTCTTTCATGACCTACGAAAAAGGTAGTTACAATTTTTAAAGTGAAACTTTTTTTTCCATCGCCTCAAATTTTTTCTTCCATCCATCGCATGTCGCATTACAGCCGTTCGCGGAGTAAGGGTAAAGTGAAAGGCAGAGCAGCCAAGGTCAATATGGCGGCGCCCATGGCTCGCATCAGCTGACCGTGTAGCATTCATATTCTCACCCGTTTGTGCAAGTGCTCCGCGGTATTTGTTTTAAGTACAAAATTGCATTTTAATATTTTATAATCAATAAATTTCATTCTTGTTTCTTACTGCTTATAGATCACATGTATAACCTCATTAAAATGGTTATGCATAATTTTTAAACTTGGTATAAATATTATACAAAATAATAAACGTTATAATTATCCTAATCCTGATACTCTATACACATCTTATCGTCTCATATGTTACTTTTTTGAAGTTTCATTTCTATCGTGTGTGAATTGCACAAACACATAATTTTCCATAGTGACATTTTTGAAAATGGTTTTTTAAGTGATGCAATTTATAGATCAAATGACTGAGGCCCAAAAGACTCATGAATATATTCAAGAAGACGGAAAGAAAAAAAAGGTTGAGGCCCGCTTTCTTATCCAATAAACACGTCAACTTATAGGTATTTCATTTATCCTTACATTTGGAGTTGTTAATAACTGGTTTAAAAATATTCCAATAACGAGTACGCGAAATACGACAACTGCATTGTCCCTAACTCTAACACCTGCGTTCATCAAATTTCTCTTCTTTCCAAAGGTACAATAAACACGGTCATTTAATGCTACTTTATTTTCGTTTTTCGATTTCTTGGTGTTCATAATATTGATTGCGTTTAATAAATGTGACAAATCGGTAGTATTAACGTTTTTAATATTTAATTATTTTATCATAATTTTCAATGCAATTTGCTTCCAACATGTCAGACGCAACTTTACTGTGAACCGTGCGCGTTCTCCTGTTTTGAAGGGTGTGAGTTCATTAGACTGTCGGAACTATTCGCGATTTCGAGGCTTAAGTGTCTGGACTACTGCACTTCATATTATGTGACGGTCGACTGATCAGTTTTGTGTTGGACAACGGGTGGTAACAGGACAGCATTTCCCAAATAATAGAACGGTATCAAGAGGAAGAAACGTCATATTATACGTCTTATAATCAATTTTCCTCTTGTGGTGACTTATGAGAAAAAAATAAGTCTTCTCGACACTTAGGAAACTTTCCAACGACGACCGAGGGTAACGAATCAAAAAATAATATTGTTGCGTAAATGCCTGCAACGAAGTTCAGCCGATGCAAAGCATAGTCTCGTTATGACGAGGTTATAGTCTAGTTTTATAAGACTAGATTTTCCAACTATCAGCCTCTTAACTCTCTTCTCAGGTTAGCGCCGGCGCAGTCAACATCATCTGCATACGTCAGTATTCATTTCATTCATACTTTTCTCTAATAAAATCCAACTACATAATTACATTATGGCACTAAATAATTTCTTAAGATATAAAAAAATCTTAACAAATTAATATCGAGTAATACTTTAGTACCTACCAGGGCAAAATAGAGAGGAAGGAATATCACACGCAATAAAAATTAATTAATCGTATAACTTTATATATTTCTTGATCGTGTTATCTAAGCAGCGCTTCAAGATCCTAAAAGTAAAAATACAGTGTTGTCAGCTAAAAAATACCGGAGTTTCTAAAAAAATATAGTAGATTACAGTAAAATTTAATGGAAAGTTTCTTTAAAATATTGAGAGAAAAACAAGCTACTTTATTTATTTATTTGCAAATAAATTTAATACAAATTATTATAACTTAGAAATAATCATTCCATAACGATTTCTTTGTGCTTTTCATAAATTTTAGCGGTCAAACTTAGAAATTATATCCTTATTTGGGTTAAAATTTACACAATTTCCTGAATTTCGACGAATGGCTTGCTGAGCTAACATGTTACCTTTATTGATATTTATCGTATTGGTGATCAGAGAGTTCCTCTGCTTAGTTTTAATATTATTAATTTTACTAAACTTCCGTTCGCATTCAGCGTTAGAGTGCGCCAAAGAAATATTTACAGCATAAAACGAGGCAGAAAGTGAAATTTATTGTCTCCATTGCCATTTTTCAATCGAGACACCTCGTACCAAAACACGTCTGCTGGTTGACTTGTATTTAACTGTTTTTAATTAGCAGTAGTAATTAAGGCTTTCTAAGGTGCTAGAAGTCAGACGTAAAGCTAAACGCTCTCATAAATAAATCAATCACAGCGCGAAATAACTATCACTCGTCGCAAAAGTGCTACCGATTATACTTAATATACGCGTGTGCCCCGAGTCAGTTAACAAAACAACGAAATCTCGTATATAAATTGGAAAATCAAGAAACACTCTTCAAATCATCGGGTGAGGTTAACTTAAGTGCCAATTGTCAAATATAATAAACGACCGTCGTAACGTCACTACCCGAGGCGGCACAGTGCTACCAATACAATAAAAATACGTTTGGAAACTTCAATACAATTACGTTCCGTTTCACCATGTCTACCGAGCTGTCATCAGAGATGTCACTCCTACTCACGAAAATGAAGGAACAACTAAATCTACAAACAATTGAAATAACTGATAATATAACAACAACTGTACTACTGAAAGTGGACGAGAAAATCAAACCGTTAATAGAGGAAAACATAAAACTTAAAAGTGAAGTGGAGTTTCTGAGAAACAAAATAACTAACCTCGAAATCAGCAGCAAGAGAAACAACATACTGATCCACGGGCTCCCAGAACCTAAAGAGGGAAACACAGAAGATCTAACCTCTCTCGTAAAGTCTACGCTGGAAGGTATTGATGTGGAAATTGGAGCAGGTGATATAGATAGGGTTCAGCGGCTGGGTAAAAAGACAAAAGATACTAA